TTTTTTTTTCGGGATATTAACGGAACGTGTTATCTCCGTTGACGATCAACAACTCTTTCTTAACAACTTGGAGCGTTATCTCGTTCGATGTGAAACGTTCAGATTTTTACGTGATCACCGGCAAAACTGATGTCGGAGGGAAACAAGCTGACGCACTCGGATATTTTAAAAGGTACCTCCAGGAAAACGCGACAAGCTCAGGGTTGTTTCGAGCGCCTCGTGGTTCACATCGTCGCCCGTCGTGCTCGCCGATGATGGAAGCGGCGGCTCGCAGCTTGTCACGGAGGAAGGCACGTTACTTTTTCGTTGGCAACGAATCGCGCACGCAATGAGTAATCCTGCGTATCCCCGGGATTGGTCATTGAGGAAAAAACCCCGATGAGTTCTCGTTCCCAGATTTAAACCCTTCTTTCTTCCTGCCTTCCTTTCGTTTCGGCGCTATGCACTTTGCGGGGCACCAGTGGCTCCTGCTTGCACCAACCGCTACCAGATGGCATTCGCAGACTTGACTCGCCCCCGAGCAGCCTCATTGCGCCCCCGGAACCCTTGCCACCGCCACTCGTCCGGATTACACTAGCTAGCGATCAATTTCCATTTCTGTACAATATTTGTGACAGGATGGAATGGCTTTCTTTAGGCTGAGATTATTATTTAAGTTACGATATAAAGCAAAGAATGTACAAAAAGATAAAATAGTACACAATTAATAGCAATATAAATAAATAATAAATGATTGATAATGATGATAATTTGAAATATTGAAAAGCGTAATAGTATTTTGCATCAAGAATACATATAATAAATTTCTTCATAAAAATTACATTATTCTATTATGATTTTTTTATATTACAATATATTACTATATCTTGCATTTTATTGTACTTTGTAATTCTGTTGTTTATTTCTGCATTTTACAACTGAGTTTTTTTTCGATGATTTAGATGAAATAAAATCGTATATTTGAACAGTTTACGTTTGTGCTTGTTTTATACAATGTATTTAATAGTCTTTATCATATTTATTTTAATGTTGAATAATTTTTTTCTAACAATATTAAATATGAATATGTTTATATAAGAAATATAATTACAAAAGTATTGAAGTAGCGTGATTATGGGATTGAATTAAGTACGAGGGATTCTTCGTGAATGGATAGATCTAGTGTATAGCGGCCTTTGCACGATTCAGGGGTGGTGCACCTTTGCGCATGTGCGACTCCCGCACGACTTTGCTACCCTTCCTTCGATCGCGTTACTAGCCCGAGTTGGAGGATAGTCTTATCGGATAAACGATAGGACAGGCTGCGATGCTGCCTGTCTATTATTTTCCCCGCCACGAAATCCCCACTGCCTCCATTTTCTCTTTCGATGACGGACACGATCTAAATACTGAGGGCAACGATTTCTTATTAAATATTCAGCTGTCCATCAATAAATAATTGACAAAATAGAAAGGTATTGTGTGTTTGTCGAGAAACGTCGAAATTCCAAAATACTTTTGTTATTGGAGCAATTATGACTAAACATTTTGTAAAATTTTCGTTCACACACAATAAATCCTTTAATACAATAATAATTTTTATCTTCTAAAGATAATCTGAATTTTTTGTATTTATTTATAATTTACAAAGATAAAGAATACAGTCAAGAAAATTTTTCATCGTCAAATGACTTAACTTTAATATTTAAACACACAAAAAAAAGAAAAATTCCGTTCCATATATTTTCGTAAAAATTTTTATCACGTTTTTATCGCATGCCTTAGTGAATATCGCGCTACCGTTATCGCGCACCCTTTTAAACGGATCTGCGACTCAAGCGTGTCCGTTTCGCATTAAAAACCATCTCCGGGATGGCGAACGGAGGGGAATCGCGCGCGAAATGGGCCTTCTCCTTCGGGCCACGGAGAACTTCGCATCGAGCCCGGCGCGAGACGTGAGCCGTTGCATTTTCAGAACGGTACTCCTAACTGTATCTCACATATGTATACACGCGTACGTGCGCGCCGCGCCGCTCACCTGTCGGGCCAGCCGCGCGCGCCGATCGCCGAACAACAGCAGCCGATGAACTCACGGCGCGACCGACGCGGCCATTGATCAAGGGAAAACTGGTTTATTTCGACAGAAACTCGGAATGAATATTTAGTTACCTTTTTAATTCCAGCGTTATCTTAATAAATTTTTTACGATTAAAATATTATAAGTTGATTATTTTAAGCATTTTAAATTCAAATAAATTATAAAATTTATTATTGCGTTACTTATAAATATAATTTATAAGTAAATGTATATGTAAAAAATGAAATATTATTACTTATTCTTAGAGTATTCTATACAATATTTATTTTTCAAGTTACAATTAACATTTGGTTAAATATGTATAGAAATTGTAGGATAATTATCGGAAAAATTACTTATTTCACATGTAAAAAATAAAAAAATTTAATTAAAAAAATTTAATTTATATTATTTTTCTGTTTACAATGCTCTGCCTGAATGAGTAAGAAGCCGTTTGCGCTACGAAGAAGGATATACGAGGAGAAGACACAGTTAGCGGATCTTCTACGCAGATACTTAGGGACATGCGGGTCGCGTGTACGGATACTCACGTAATGTGGGCCCGTTTGCCGGAGATACCGTAAGACCTTGCTGTGTTACGTCACAGCGATAGAGAACTGGCGTGGTTAGGAAGCGGAAAAGGAGGAAGATGTATAAAAGACGATGGAGAAAGGGGCGAAGAAGAGGGAGGAGCGTTTCTCGCGTGGAGATAAATTCTACGACGTGCTTTAAATTAAAATGCTTGACGCGTGTAGAGAAACTATTTTTATCTGCATGTGCGACATCTCTAAATGTGTCATTATGTGTGATTTATTTTTATCGAAAGTTTGTTGAGGAGTTTAATGATCAAAGCATTATACAGAGATGAGGTAATAAATTGTTAAGCTATTAATATAAATAAATTGAAATAATTTTATTTTTATTAAATTAATTTATAGTAAGTAGGCAGTTAAGAAGAAAAATTAAAATAAGGCATATATAATACGCGCGCGATGTATATATGTTTAGGCATATTTCAAAAATATTGAACAAAATTGACAAAGCATTCAAAAATTAAAAGTATTTAAATTTATTAAATAAGGTTAACGAGGTAAATGATTATTGGTACATAATCAATTTGGCAGAAAAAATATATTTAATAACAAATGGAGTTAATTATTAAATGTGTTTCTATTTCTAACAAAGTGATTGTAGATTATTAACCATACTTTTCTCGTTAGATTTGTTTGATTTTTATTGGAAAATCTAAGTTTGTATTTAATAAAAAATGTATTTTATAAAACGTGTATGTGAAAAAGAGTTGTAAAATTATACATTACATTAAATTTAACAAGAGGAGAATCAATCATTTTTCAAAATATAAAGATAATTTTGTTCAGAAAAATTATTAAATATTTTTTAAAGGAAATTAACGAGAATACGAAGTTTTTGTCTCTTGTTAATTAGATTAGACTAAACTGAGCGATAAAAAAATTGACGCACATGATTCCAAAATGTGCTTAGTGCATTGCACGATCGAGTTTGTAAAAGTAAATCGGGCCAAAACAACCGTGACTTTCCGCATGAATCAAGGCGAGTGGGTTAGAATCGCGTTTCCCGCTAGTTTTATACCGTTTGCCGTTAAGCTTTTCATGCGTGCGTGCGTGCGTAAGTACGATTCCGATTTGCGGATGTTTCGTTTCATGCGAGCCGATGTACGTCTCGATAAGCTTTCATCGCGTGCAACGAATCGCTCACAATCAGTAGCAACATTTTTTCTATTAGTTGTCCCTAATTTATTCTCTACTTTATTCTCAAGTTTTATATGCTGACAGACACGCATAGTCGTTATAATCGAGAGTAATATGAGAGTAATAGAGCTCGTAAACGATTTAAAACAGTTACAATATAAACATTTTACATTAATTACTGAAATAGTTTCACACAAATGCAATTTCAAATAAAGGAAAAAAATACTAGTTTGAGATATAAAATATAATTTACAAAAGATAAAAACTTTTATATATATACAATACAAAGAGAACAGTATTAAATATGCATGTATTCTAAGATTAACATAGATAAGAGGTCAAATTGTGAATTGATATCTGCTTCTTCTACAAGATTTGATAACTCAGATATTTTGAGTTAAAAATCTTTTACAAATAAATAACACGCATATTTTTTTGCTTCGTTAGTGACAAAAATTTTTTTAATGATAATTAGTTTGTGATTAAAGATATTTACTTTTACCTTCAAGATATTTTTAATTAAAATATTTACCTAGAATTTAAAAAGCTGTTAAATTCTAGGTAAATATCTTAATTAAAAAGTGAATAGTGTTTTAAATTCTAGATAGATATTTGAAAAACTTAAAAAATTCTTATTTTAATTTATATATGATATTTTTTAAAACATTAATCTCGGGCATCAATAATTTATAAATAGTCCAACAATTTTCTTGTTTGAACCGATTGTACCGTTATCGTTTAAGGCGTTTGTTCTTACACACTATCTTTTATGTACAAAATCGAACGGCACCGAGTCAACAGACAAATCAGCGCAATGCGGCACGATGCTCAAGTGTTTCGCAAAATCGCTCCTGCTCGGCGCGGCGAGCGAGCATGGCGCGAAGACCTCCGGTTAAAATCACCGGGCCCTTCCACCCCCCTCCGGCCTCCACCCCACCCCTCAACCCGGACCTCTCCTTCCCACACCCTCTGTTCGCCTGTCGACGCGGCCCGCGTCCACGTGTTTCTATCTGCGGTCAGTGCACTTTGCTGCACGAACCGCGGCCGTTTACCGAAGGTCCACGCAACGCGACCGCGCTTAATAATCATCCTCCGGAGGATCGTCGAC